CCTTCTATTCTTCTCGTTGGTTGGCAGGTGACCCTCTCTGTCATTCCAAGCTGTAAAAGAGAAAGATTACCCACTGCTTAAAAATCCACTCTCCATGAAAAGTAAAAATACCTAAAAGATGTGGTGATTTTTAAAACATTTAACAGATAAAGACTGAAAGGACTGAGTTTAATTTTTGGGTCAAAAGTGAAGCTTTCAACCAATAAGTCCACTAAAATATGATCAGGCATGTACTTACAGAAGTGTTGGGAGCTGTGAGTCGAGTGATTTAACTGTTTGATGGAGCCCCACATTCACCTTTTGGGGGGGAGGAGGGGGGGGAAGGGATAGCGGGAGCTAGACTGACCCTACCTTAAACAAGCGGGCCGGGCAATCAAACTATCACTTTCGGGGGGGGGAAAAAAAGGGGGGGGGGGAAATAGCATGAGCTGGACTTCCCCTACCTTAACAAGTAGCCGCAATAAAAACAATTGTTACTATACACTCCCCTCGCTACTCCTATCTATTGAACTTTTCCCCCCACCCCCCCCAATACCAAGACTTATAGTCAAGGAGTATAAGAAGAATAGGCGAGGAAAAAGTTCTAACATGTGGAAGCCGCGTAAGGCAGCAAATCTTCTACTGATGTCATGACTTAACCAGTCAGAGAAAATAATTGGATGAACCATTGATATACACAATATGGAACTTAAAAGCCTGGGTGCCAATGCTGCCTCAAGGGGCGACTGTCGGTTCCATAAAGTTTCTAGGTATATTAAAGGTTTGTGGTCCATTTCTAAAATGAATTCTTTTCCCAGCAAATAAAATTTAAGCTTGGAGATCCCCCAACAAGGGCCAAACTTTTCCTTTTCTATGGTGGAGTATCTCTTTTCTGCAGGAGGGAAGTTTTAGATTTAATAAATATACAGGATCTAGGAGTGTGTGTATTTTGTGCAGTAAGCACTTGACACCTATTGCAAGAACTATACTTCTTTGTAACCTGAGAATACATGCTTGGGCCAAAAATAAGTGTGCTTGAGTTTATGCCACGTCTTACGATGGGCCAAGTGTTGGTCACTGGCAAATCATGGGCCATTTGAAGAACAGTCTCTCGACATGGTTTAAAAAACAACAAGGAGGAATAATCTATCGGCTGAAGAATGAGATTTAAATACAGATTTATGTAAGATCCCATTAATATTTCAAATTTATGAGATACGTACTCCCATGGATAACTTTGTAGTTAAAAGCTTGATTATGACAATCCTGAAGTAAAGGGGAAATTGCGATGTTATTGACAAAGTCATCCTTGGGACATAAAATCTGGGAAAATAAAAGGAACCAGGGTGGGAGAAGAGGAGGTAGGAGAAACTGGGGTTATGGTCTGACCCCTAGTCAAGACCTTGAGAGTGCCGGAGGAAATTTACCCTTACTTTCACCTGACGAGTGGACAGGTGATCCGCTACCTCGCTATCGAGAGCAGTATCATCTGTTTCCACCCCCAAATGAACAGTACGAGACAATGTAGTTTCCCGGTTTGCAGAATTGTAAAGGGGTTTTATTAACTTGGAAAGGGAAGAGGAGCGGGAAAAAACTTAGATCCACGGGTGGTGACGAAAGATCCCCTCTGAAGGAAGAACGGCACCTTTTAATGTTACCCACTATTATAGAACAAGTAATTGGGGCTAGTACCGCATTATTTCCCAACCGGTGAACCATTTAGTTTTCAAGTAACAACGTATTGTAGGAAGGTATTTTCACGACCTAAGTAATCTGAAAGAATAGAGGACACACGAGAGGTTTTAAAGTAAGGGAACAGTTTGTCCGAAATCACGATGCATGTACATCCAGTGTCACGTAATATATCTGAGACTTTTATACCATTAACTGCTCCTGAACAGAAGGGGGGCTTGGTCATTACCTTCAACAAAACATCTTCCAGCTTTCTCTATTTTCTTGGAAGGACAATCTGGACGTTTATGTCCGATACCACCACATCGATGATAGGTTGGTATAATTGCTGGTGACTTTGCTTCTACTGTAGGCTTCTTAATCTTTGGTTCAGGTTAACCATTGCCCTTAAGGTTCGATCCCTTTAGGTCTTTATAGGAATTGTGAAAACTCAGCATACAAGTCGCGGCCTCAGCAACTTCCTCAGCTTTAATCAGGTTACGTTCTCTAATGAATGTTCTTATCTGGTTTGGGGGAAAAGCTGTCAGGAACTGGTCAGCAACCATGAAGTCTCTAAGAGGGTTCATAACTGTGATCAATTCCTGAACTCTCTATCCAAAAGTCAAACAAAAAGAGTGTTACCTGTAACTGCTGAAAGTTCTGGCCAGGCTGTAAGGTGGCAAAACCTGAAATCTTTCCTGTAAGAATTAGTGGTTTTTTGATATGCTTTTAAGGATTGCCTTCTTCAGTAGGTTATTAATTACATATGATATCCTGCGACAAAGTTTTCATAGATATTCAAGGCTGTACCAAAAATAACATTCCTAACCTGGTAGCCCAGGTGTCAGCAGACCATTCACAGAGGGTAGCGGTATTTTTGAACCTGATAATGTATGAAGTAATGTCATCACCCTCTGTGAAGGGAGGTAAATTAGGTGTTGGAATATGTGCACTAGCTGCATGATGTTCAATTACTCCTTCCTCTAATTGTTGTTGTGTCAGAGTTAACTTTTTATTCTCTAATTCAAGGCGAGATTTTTCGAGCTCGCGATCCTTTTCTCTCTCTATTAACTCATGTTCTCTAGCTTTTGCCTCACGTTCTCTAGCTCATTCCTCAACTTCTCTATCCTTTGCTCTTTCCTCAAGTTCTCTTAATTTAACTTGTTCCTCACGTATTTTAGCTTGTTCCTCACGTACTCTAGCTCTCTCCTCATGATCAAGTCTATCACGCTCCTTTTTGTCTTCTCTCTCTCTTTCTAACTGTCTATCTTGGTTTTCTCTTTCAATTCTCTCTCTCTCCTTTTCTTCTTCTCTTTCCCTTTCTGTCTTTCTTCTCTCTCAATTCTCTCTATTTCAAGTCTTTCCTGGATCTTAGCACTAATGAAAGATTCTAAATTTTTCCCTGTTATACCTAATTACTTCCAGCATTCATCCAAAACTGGTATTCCTCCATACTTGCGAGAATAACTTAAACTATCAGGGGAAATGAAACGGGTATTAAAGAAAACGGAGGGTTCAATTCCTGCTCTGCTCAAACTGTAAATAAACCAGAGGGCTCGATCCCTACTTCAATTGAACGAAGGGTCTATGCCGACTCCGAGCAAACAGTAAGTAGAATGGGGTCACTTGACCATCCAATCTTCTCACCAACAAATCAAGAGTGTCCTACGACAGTTCCCTTGATATAATAAAGAGCTCAATGAAACAAATTGTCACTGGAAAATCTCGGGTCCCTAGAGTCTAATCCTCCAAAGTGTTTCAAGCTCGAAAAGGTGGCAGAATTAAATATTATATCCTGCCTGACTTGACTTACAATCACCATATCTTTTAAATACCTGTGCCGTAGTCCTACCATAGAGAATGATTACTCATGGCTGGTGGTAACCATCTGTGGTATGCGGCGTTGAAGTTCCAATGGTAGATTCGAGATGGAATTGAATCTTGATTCAGTAGAGTTGATCCTGGCAAGGTCACCACTTGTGAAGGCTTACTCAGCCCTGTAACAACTTCAGTCAGTATTACCGAGGCTGACTCCTCCTCAGGAAAATTAATGAATAGAAAAAGAAATAATAACAGACAATGATAAACACTTTATTATTTAGAAACGGAAAATGTAAAACAATAAAACATGAATGGGTATCCTATCTGAAAGAAAAGTGAAAAATGAAATGAAAAAAATTACATTTGAACTCAACGATAAAATAGGTATATCGTGATAATGGGGTGTCAGGTGTTGGTGACACTGCGTGTTGTTGAAATCATAGCCGTTGCTGATGTGGGGGGGGTAGCAGGTGTTGGTGACCACCACCGGCTCGTTCTTCACAGAGTGTAGCCGTGTATGATTACTTCAGATGACAGGAAAACAGGTTCGTTACCACTGCTATGATGAGGGGTTAGGTCCTGTGTTGGCTTACATAACAGGTAAGTAGATTAAACATGGGACGTCTCAGGACGTTAGTCCATCTCCTTCTATTCTTCTCGTTGGTTGGCAGGTGACCCTCTCTGTCATTCCAAGCTGTAAAGAGAGACAGATTACCCACTGCTTAAGAAATCACTCTCCATGATAAGTACAGTACCTAAAAGATGTGGTGATTATTAAAACATTTAACAGATAAAGACTGAAAGGACTGAGTTAATTATTGGTCAAAAGTGAAGCTTTCAACCAATAAGTCCACTAAAATATGATCAGGCGTGTACTTACAGAAGTATTGGGAGCTGTGAGTCGAGTGATTTACTGTTTGACCGGAGCCCCACACGTCACCTTTCGGGGGGGGGGAGGGAGGGGAAGGGATAGCGGGAGCTAGACTGACTCTACCTTAACAAGCAGCCGGCAATCATACTATCTCTTTCATGGAGGGGAAAAAAGGGGGGGGGAGAATAGCGGGAGCTGGACTTACCCTACCTTAACAAGTAGCTGGCAATGAAACTATTGTTACTATACACTCCCTCGCTACTCCTATCTATTGAACTTTTCCCTCACAATCAACTATCCGGATATTGAAAGGAAAGCATTTACAATAATTTCCATCTTTAAACATTATAATGTCAAAGATATTTACAAGTTTTCTCTGGTTACTACGGAAACTACAGAAAAAATGTGAGAACTAGTTGAACTATTATTATAATCATGGAGAAACGATAAACCCATAGGATTATACAGCGCCTGTGGAGGAGGGGGGGATGGAAGGTATTCAGGGAGCTGGAGCACAGAGCCAATTCCCTAGATCAAAAGCCCCTCACCAGCGTCAAGGAACCTCCCATGAGGAGTCTGTAGTTGAAACTGTGGAATTTAATTAAGAATTTAAATCTTACGTATCCCCCTATAATTCTTTCTTAGATAAAAAACATTAAATTCACAAGGAGATTTACTTAAACTGTATTAAACTGTATTTGAGAACCTTCAAAACTAGGGAGGCCAAGCCCATGATGACACTCTTCAGGTCGCTTGTTCTATCTAGGCTGGAATATTGCTGCACACTAACAGCACCTTTCAAGGCAGGTGAAATTGTCGACCTAGAAAATGTACAGAGAACTTTCACGGCGCGCATAACGGAGATAAAACACCTCAATTACTGGGAGCGCTTGAGGTTCCTAAACCTGTATTCCCTGGAACGCAGGAGGGAGAGATACATGATTATATACACCTGGAAAATCCTAGAGGGACTAGTACCGAACTTGCACACGAAAATCACTCACTACGAAAGCAAAAGACTTGGCAGACGATGCACCATCCCCCCAATGAAAAGCAGGGGTGTCACTAGCACGTTAAGAGACCATACAATAAGTGTCAGGGGCCCGAGACTGTTCAACTGCCTCCCAGCACACATAAGGGGGATTACCAACAGACCCCTGGCAGTCTTCAAGCTGGCACTGGGCAAGCACCTAAAGTCAGTTCCTGATCAGCCGGGCTGTGGCTCGTACGTTGGTTTGCGTGCAGCCAGCAGCAACAGCCTGGTTGATCAGGCTCTGATCCACCAGGAGGCCTGGTCACAGACCGGGCCGCGGGGGCGTTGACCCCCGGAACTCTCTCCAGGTAAACTCCAGGTCTCCAGGTATTTTGATAAATATTGAATACTATAATTACTGTATAATCATGAACTTCTCACTAGAAATATTACATATGTTTTTGTAAGATTTTCCCTGGAGTAATCCTGACACTAAACAATGTTATAGTTACATTTAGTGAAATGTATATAATGTATTTACATAGAAAATGGGGTTATTAAACTGGCAAATTGGGACTTAGCTTAATAACATCAAGAGCCTTTCTGCAATGGTTATAACTAGCCATAATTTTTAAAGGGGTGGACCGGTAAGCCAGCGGAAGGCCTTGGTCAGATGACCAAAAGCTCCAACGGCGGGTCATCATTTGATTAAGACCCGCGTCAGGAAACACTTGTTCTGTTTCCTGAGGAACCTTACCTAACTTAAATAATCACATTGAAACCGTCGAGGAAGAAAAAGAATTCACACCACTATACTGTATCAATCAGTTTACACACTGCAGTATCAATCAATCGCTGCTCCACATCTGCAGTGTTGATAAAGGGCAGGGCCTACCTAGTTCTTCCGGTTTGTCCTCACCTGCATTTTTTGGGGAGTTTAGGTCCTGGAACGGGATGAGATTTGGGAGAGGTGTGGGCGTGGCTACAGGTGAAAGTGTGAGGGAATCAATGTGTGGTTGAGGGGATGGCCAGAAGGATGAGAGTAAATGGGCAAGTGTGGGTGACGTGCATGCATGCTGCCGCTGTGTGGAGGGGTACAGGGGTGAAGGTGGGTTGGCACGTGTCCTATATTAGTTCCGAATCCTGCTGTGGTCGTAGTCTTTATGTTAGTGAAGGGAATTAGAACTACCCTCCACTTCCTTGGGTGAAATCTGATGGTCTCAAATTAAAAGAATATACAAGTAATTAAACTGAGAAAGGATTGGAAATGGGAAATAATTGTGTAAATTTCCACTTAAGGTTACAGGTCTGTTGTGCCGACATTGCATTTATATAATAAAATATTCACTAAAGTTTGCGAAAGAACAATCTATACACTTCAAAACACTGGAGGAACAGAAGAGAAAATTATTACAGTTGAAAATTCGAACACTGATAATTAAAAATAAATATAACAGGTAAAAAAAAAAAAATGTCTTCATGGGTAAGAGTCACACTGGGGTGCCACAAGGATCAGTACTTACACCGATGATGACCTTAATGTACATAAATTGAGACCTGCCAGAAATAATAGAATCTATACGAATATGTTTGCCGATGAGGTAAAAGATCCAATGCAAAAGAGACCATAAAAATGACTGTAAATCTCAACAAGGAGACTTATGTAAATTGAGCAAATAGTGACAGATAAATGATAGAATTTTATGTTGACTAGTTCTATAAAGTGGAAATGGGATTAAAGTAAAAACAGGCCACATAAATAGCGTAAACTCGCACTCTGACTCAGTGTTAGGAAACATCAAACTAAAGAAATATCTTGCGGCTATTTTTAACAAAATATTTTTACCGAAAACATATTTAAATAAAGAAAAAAGTTCATTTTACTAGGTCAGCTTTTTGATGTTGTGCTCAACGTCACTTTGTTAACGCTTTCAATTTTTTCCTCGCATGCTAGTTTATTTTAAATTAAGCTAATTTACATTAGGTTGGGTTAAATTTATATAAACCTATAAAACAAAGGTTTAACTACAGATAAATTACAGAAAGCGGCTGCAATTGGTCTGGGGAGGAGGTGGCCAAGGTAATACACGCCAGGTACGATAATTGGTTGTTTGAAGGTAGTTCTCAGGAACCCATACTGCATTGGCAAACTGTGATATTTACTCATAATATTTGCAGAGCGAAATCTAAATATGAAATAGTCGTGCAGTGTTCGCTCCCTAAATATGTACATATGATTTCAAAAGTTCAAAAATGAACTTCAAAATGGCACTCAGGTTTGCAAAATGCTAAGAAAAATTACTGAAAATACTAATGATTACCTTGTTGGCTGATAAAAGGTAAAAAAGACAACTATATATTATTATAATCAAAAAGAAGCGCTAAGCCACAAGGGCTACTCAGCAGACAACTATATAAAGCGACAGAATAAATCAATAAAAAATCTTAATTACCGTCAACGAGGAAAACAAGAAGTTATTGTAAAGAAAAAGAATATGCCAGAAATATAGAATATTTTTTACAGTGATAGAATAACAATAAGAGCTATATTAAAATATATAATAGCTTGAACACTGAAGACGGAAGATATGAGCATAGAACTGCTCTTGTAACTACCGAGAGGTAACCACAAATATGTAAAACAGAAGCCCCTTATAATTACCAAGATATTACAGTGAATGTTGTTAACAAGATCGCCAAGATGCAAGCCAATGCTAGAGAGGTAAACTGGTGCCATCTGATGTAGTGTTTCCACTTGTACTGGAGCCAGCAGGTGACAAGAGGGTGTCTCAGCAGGTCGTAGTGTTTGTAACGAATGATACATTCTAAGAGGTGGTCGTTGCGCCAGTCCCGGTCCACCTTGGCCAACTCCACTCCGGCCACTAATTTCCCACTCTCCGTTTCAAAAGGTTCTCTCAAAAGTGAGTTTTGATTGCCGGTATTTATGCGAGTGGCACTTTCATTTTTGTGAGTGTCACTTATATTTTTGTAAGTAACACTTTCATTTTTGCCTACAATGAAGAGATACAAACATTGAATAAATTGCATAGGTTGGTCTGTTAAGTTCTTTAATCCATTTCTCATTTTTTTACATTAATTAAAATCGACACAAAGATCACAGGCAAAAGAAGGAAATCTTCTTTATTTTCTATTATTAAAATATACTAATAGCAGTAAGAAATTTTATTAAACACACATTTCATACCTGGTAGTGGGTATGCCTCATCCAGGTAGTGTACTAAGTAACGTGTGTGTGACTGTTGCTGTGTATCTTCACTGTTATCTGGGGGCTTTTGCTGTGTATCTTCACTGTTATCTGAGGGCTTTTGCTGTGTATCTTCACTGTTATCTGGGGGCTTTTGCTGTGTATCTTCACTGTTATCTGGGGGCTTTTGCTGTGTATCTTCACTGTTATTTGGGGTTTGTATACACTTGTCCAGCACACGTCTTACTAAATCTGGATAATCCTTCACAAGCAAAATCAAATTCTTGTTCTTCAGCTTCTTTTCTAAAATTCCTTCGGCAGGTTTGAAGGCCTCTTCCCAGAAGCAACTGTCTATGATAATTTCCATCATTTGTCTGTAATTGAAGACCCTAGTCAAATTAAGAGTAAGACTTGTGCTATTACAGTCATCATACATGTTAAGTTTATGCAATGGAAAAGTAGCAAATAAATATTCAGAAGTTACATGTTTTACCTTACCTCTACTCTAATATATAAGATATGGTAATTATTTGATTCGTCAGGAGACAAGTGCCACCTCCTGACGTGGGTTTTAATCGTATAGATGACCACATTAGTTCTGACCGCTTGTTTTCCTCCCACAGTGGCTGACAGACTGATTTTTTTTTATATTTTATTGAGAAAGACACAATACAAGATATAAATAAATAAAAGAACACAATAATTAGCCACTTGCGAATACAAAGATCTAGTGTCAACCCCCATCAGATCCTAAGTGTTACAATCATATCGTATTAAAGGGTAAACCATCACCTAACAATGAAAAGAACATGATAATACCTGCTCAGAAAATACACTAACAGAATCTAAACCTACAATACACTCCTGTTACACTATACAATAAAACCCCCTTGCACAAAGCACACAGAAGATATGATAAACATAGGAATAAAAACATTATACATTACAATAATGAAACAAAAGGCAAACCTAAGCCTTCAATAAAATTGCCAAGACATACCACCATAATACGTCCCACAAAGTGCTGGAACCGCCTAACAGAATAAAACAGCGAGAGCTCCAGCACGGAACAAAACCATTAACACAAACAAAGCTTACAATTTATGTCAGCGCTCACACCAACCCCCACTGCTCTGTTAAATAAGACCCCTTGCACAAGTTGCACTGTAAATGTCACACAACCTACAAATTTTAAAAATACAGAACATTGACCTAAAACGTTAGGCAAAAACAAAACCTATAATAAATATTACATTAGGGCATTTCACAATGAAACCCCACCCAAACACTGGGCAAGACACATCCACAAGTAAAAGATTTAACATTATGTATACAAGTACAATCCATACAAATAACAAAATTCTATCGTAAGGTATCAAAACGATCTAGTTACAGTACATTAAAACCTTATTTCCCTATTTGAAGCACAAAAATACATCATGAGAAGTTATATAACAAGCCTAAATCTGGCATTGAGTAACGTTAACGTAGAAAAAAAAATACAAAACACGTAATTATTAAAGATTGTGATAGTAGGTTCATGTACATATATCTCAGATTATATAAGCCATGTTAAGGCTGATACCTTTTAAAGAACCATACATCAAGTGCATACTTTTTTGAATATGCTTGAGCTAAGCCAAGCATTAACAAGATATATACACATATGACCGTCACGTTCACCTATTAGCAATACACGACAGGCCATTGCTTGAGATTATCTCATGCGTCGGTGTTCGACATTTATCCATTATTAGTATCACAATAACAATACAGTTATCTTAAATGTCGACCCTAAGGTACATCAGTGTATAACTAATAGCGACGAGGGTCGCCGACGTATGCCAGGGATTGCTCAAACCTCTATAGTTTCAAAATCTCACCTTAAGGCGTCATCATACTGACGACAATATTAATATAGCATGTGTCGATTCTGCTACACAAATGATGTGTATTATAAAAGGTTAACGCACATTTTATTCGATCTATTCACTTGGCATACAATATTACATAAAATTTTTTCCAAAGCCCCGGTTCGTTCTCGTTTATACCTTCTAGACCTTACATGACCGCCCCTTCCCAATGTTTCATCATTATTCCTCACCATTTCGAATCCAACCGTCACTCTCGCTCACACACGAAAAGGCCAGCCACGTCTACCTTCTATGGTACTAATGCCCATAAATCACGAACATGGAAATTACAATATCCCACCGAAAAAGTCGAAAGCCATCTACCCCCAGCAATCTCTCTATTCCTCTGCTGTGCACCATAAAAAATCGCTGCCAGCGCCCTGATCCTCTCTCTTGCTGATACGTGTCTGCAGGCCCATGAAGTATATACAAAGTCAGTGACTAGATATCCAATCGCCCTTTGTACCGGCAACCCTACCCCCCCCACATCTAGACTTAACGCTCTTAAGACACAAATTCCCTCACCTCTCACCATCTGTATAACTGCTAAACCACACTCTTACCGCTTCCAATCTCTCACAAAAATACACTGCGTGGAAAGCCGTGTCAGTATCCCCACACACACAACGCTCCTTACCCACTTGCACACGTCTATTCGCTAACACCTCCCCGGAAGGCAATATATTGTGAAGGAATTTATACATAACCTCCCGTACCCCGGCCCTCAATCGTAACTCCTCCATCGACCACAAATATCACGCCATGCATACATTGGATATATACCCTCTACGCTAGCCACCCCCTCCCTCTCTTCCACCCTTGCCAGTTTTCTAATCTTGATTCGACTTGGATCCCTTGCATAAATTAAAACCCTCAGCATGTTCTCGCATCTCGTAACATCCCCACCATTCATCCATCGTACCAAATCCCCTCGAATCCAATTCAAACCTGTACCAACCCTCCGACCCTCACGCAAATAACTATGTTTAACGTACATACCTAATATTCTCATGTGCAGATTCATTAACCCCAGTACACCCCGACTAGTCGGTAAATACACAACATCTCTCGCTAACCAATCAGGTACATCAGAGGTTTGTGCTCCGGGTTTTCTCGTGTTTTCACGGTCGCTCTTATGTGCTAGAACTTTAATTTGTGCCATCAATCCTATACGATACATCCCTCTAGCGCCTGGAACCAATCTTGGGCGGAAAACATTATATACTGAGTCAAAAAAGGAGAATTAGTGTGCACTACCTAGCAGAGTTTACTGCCAGAGGGGAATCATAGGCCTGTGTTCCGTGTGCAAAATAATAATAATAGAACTTTTCTTTGTCAGAGGAAAGAAAGTCTCCCTGATAACATTGTGTATACATAGTGTATAGTGTATACTACAGTGGCTCCCTAGTATATAGATGATAAAGGCTAAAGTGTCATTTGAAAACAGGTGAATTTGTAAATGAAGTGATAAGCTTATAGAGGCAGGTGCCAGAAGTCGCCAGAATCTTACCACAGTGGTCAGCTGTTTTAATAATCTTCCTGGCCTGCTAGTGTACTCGCATATAATCTAGTGATACCAGTGAATAGCAGAATACAGTGCTGTAGTAGCAACTAACCAGTATTATAATAGTACTTAGTGGAGTGGAGTGACTTTCATTAGTTTCTTTTTTCTTGAAATACCAGACGTATACTGTGATTTTCATGTAACCTGTAGTTACCAGTGGTCGCAATATACACAACGAGAAGCAATTATTACTACAGAAAAAGCGTCCTTCCTCCAAAATTTCCACCAGTCAACTATAGTGATAATATAGCATTTATTGTGGTGGAGATGAAAAAAAAAACTAGAAAAGCTAGATACAGCGATTGATAAACAAGGGTTGAGGCTCGACTGTTCGTCATTGTAGGAGCTGCCAGAAATCACCGGTTCTTCAACACGCAAGTTATACTTTTGTATCAATCAAATCACATATTACTCGGGTAGATAATTTCAGGTAGATCCTTCATGTGTTAGCCCAAATCACCGACCAGTATGTTTTAAATAAGTGACCCACTGATCAGATCAGATTGACTGGTCCGAACCCTCGACTGGTCCGAACCCTTGACTGGTCCGAACCCTTGACTGGTCCGAACCCTTGACTGGTTTCAAACGGATTCGTTGGACAATAAAGCAGACTGTAAACGGATGGGGTTGTAGGCGCCCTTATCAAACACAAACAATAAATATAAATCAGGAACGTACACGGTAAGCTGTCCAATATACAAGTGCAGTTAGAAATAGAAATACAAATAGCTAGAGCTTCATTTAAGGAGGTTATTAGTAGAATATTCAAGAGGTTGCTAGTAGAATTACAGTAAATCAACCATTCAAATCATTATGAAGCCCTGTGTAGTCTGCAGTCAATCAAACAAACGGGCTTCCACATGGATAAATTGTCATTTTTGTGGAAATTGGTGTCACGCCCCTTGTGCAGATATCCAAGAACTAGCTACAAGCAGTATTAAAACAGGGAAGTGTTTTTGGGTATGCCCAAATGAGAAAATCTGTGGACTAAAATCACAAGGGTATTAAAAGAGGATAACATCAAAGCTGCTTTCATAGAAAACCTGGAAGCTTTCTACAACAGATGGGAACATAAAAAGTCTGGGCTGAATGGTACTGCCCTTGATACTGGCCATGTAATCAGAAACTGTAAGGCTGGAGGTGATGTCCTGGTAGTCAGTAAATGTGGGGCTGATAGTGCTGTCCTGGGAGACAGTAATGGTGAAGCTGGAGGTGCTGTCCTGGTAGACAGTAATGGTGAAGCTGGAGGTGCTGTCCTGGGAGACAATAATGGTGAAGCTGGAGGTGCTGTCCTGGGAGACAGTAATGGTGAAGCTGGAGATTTTGTCCAGGTAGTCGGGAATTATACGCAGGAAGGAATACATATAATGACCTCTAGGGGACAGGAGCATAGTGGGAACAAGTGTAGTCAAAGATAAGATAAAACCAATATTGCAAACTAGAAATACCGCAGGAAATGGCAAACAGAGGACTCCATAGCAATACTGAGGATAAATTACCAAAACAACTGGTGGGAGCTCCATTGTTGGTGCTAGGGATGATAGAAGTAAGACAGGGAAACATGCACCAACAGGGAATACAGTCACAGAAACCCAAGGCAAGCGGAAACCAAGCCGTGCACATACTATGCACTTGGTATCTGCTGGCATGGAAATCTGGAAAAACAGATGGGACATGCAACTATGACCACCCTAGAAAATGCCATGCCCATATGACAACAGGAAAATGCAAACTCCCTTCCTGTAAGCTTTTTCACCCTGAACTGTGTACCTCTTCAGTACAGGAAAGACTGTGCTATAACTTAAATTGCCAGGCACACCATCTAAAGGGGACAAAAAGATACAAAACATCCAGGCCATGGGAAAACCTGGGTAGCCACAGCCACTCAAGGAGAGGT